TGGCAAATGAATTGATGAATTTTCATTATTATAGTTAAAAGAGATAATGTGAGTTATTCCTGACACATGACTAGGTCTTGAATAAGAGTGGCTATGATTAATGAACTAATGGTGCTCTATACATAAGAAAATCAACATGTATTTATTTAATAACAATAAAACAAAATGGAACAGACCCCCACCTCCCTGCCCTGTCCTTCTTCTCTTCCCTTTTCAGCAGCTGTACAGGAAGGTGGCTGCCCAGACAGCCCCAGGGCCTGCAGTTCGATTTCCCTCCTGGCCTTTGCTCTTGGCCTTCAGGCACCTTTCTCCTTACATGACTCCCAGGCCTCTCTCACTTTGAGGTTATTAAGATGGAGGCTGGGATGATGGTCTGAGCTTCTCAGAGCACTGAATTCTGATTCACTGTTGTTCTTCAGTAGGATCAAGTGAGACTATGGTTCTCTTAGCAGTCTAGCTTTGGTTTTGCCCTTGTGCAAGTATGTGCTTACTGTAATTTCCAAGAATCATGTGCTGAATCCAGTGGAAAGGAGGCAGTCAATATTTGTATGCCAGAAAGGAAAGGATGACCTGGCCATATGGCCCCACTGATAACATAATTGCTTCACTCCCCAGGAAGCGGGAGCAGGACTACTCTGCTAGCATCTCAGCTGGCCATGGGAAGCCTTAACTGGTGTTCCTATGACATCAGGTGGCCTTGAACTTGTTACTTGACCTCTCCAGGGCTTTGATTTCCTCATCTGTGAAATGGGGCGGATCTTTAAATTTCCTTCCTATCTGTGTTTTTATGTCCAAACTTATGTTTTAGTAATCCCAGTCTGGATGGTTCATTCAAAAAGATTCCAAGTTCAAGGAAGCTGTATGATAGCCAAAGGTAATTAATAAGGAGTACTGTAAAAAAAAAGATTCCCTATTTTAAAATCAGACTGAGTTCTTTAACCTAATTGCTAGTCAGCCCAGTTTTAAATTCTTTCAAATTTCTTTTAAAATTTGTTTTCAGGGTTCTCCCTGTTCTATTTTAAGACAGTCTGGTACTTGACAGTGCAAAATTTTATTCCTCCCCAAAACCCCAGAGAGCATTGATTGGTACTCAGGTTAGACAACAATGCCTTGCAGCATGGCGGAAGTTTCATTACAAGGACATTTATTGGAAGCATCAAGGTATTTGGAAGATTTTTTTTTCCTTCTTTCCCATGGGCCTCCTTAAACATACAGTTCTCCATGAATGTGAATTTTTGTAAAGTTCAAGTTCCAATGACAGCTTTTAAAAAAAAATCTGTGTTTTATTTAAACCTCACAGATCTTATCAAGCTAGGACAAGAATTTTCAAAGGAAAAGGCGAGTTCCCTTCGGCTTCTGCTTTGACTAATTCTGGGGCAATGTGTCCTTCCTGTTGGCCCCTCAGACTGACCTAGTTTAAGAAATGAGTTAGAGAACAAGCGTTGTCAATCTCAGAGAACACTGCCTTATACAGGACAGTTTTAGGTATTAGGACCTCATTGATGTGGAATGAGCAACAGTTTTGAGAATCTACTGTGTGCTAGCAAGGGTGTTAAATGCTGTCCTATATATTATTTCATTCATTAAAATAGTACTTCCAGCAAATCTAAGTCCCTTGCCTATGTTCCTGCAGCTGGCCTAAGGCAGAGGTAGAAATCAAATCCAAAATGTCTGCCTCTAAAGTAAATTCTTTCCACGGGACTGTGCCTTCCCCTTTTTCCCATTACCAACTGGCTGATTTCTCTGATTATTTTCTTGTGGAAAATGTCTAAACTACATAAGTCTCGCTATGTTATTATCTAATTTGTTTTTTAATAGCTTTAATTCATTTTCAGATGTTTCCTCACAGTTGGTGGCATATCTTGTCGTGATCTTAACTGTGCCTTTTAAAGAGAAGTTCCTAATTTTTGGTGAAGTCTAACTTATCTTTCACCTTTTTTGTTGGTATTATAACCAAGAAATCTTTATGGAGTGGCACAGTTAGCATGTGGAACTTATAAAGAGTACATGCAGAGATATCTTTGTCTAACTCAAAGTTACAAAAATCTTCTCCTGTATTTTATCCTACAAGTTTATAATTTTTGGATTTACATTATATATATCTGATGTACTTTGAGTTAATTTCTTGTTCATCTTTGCAGGGGTGGAATGAGGTTCTTTTTTTTTTTTTATGTGAATATCTGTTACCACACCCTTTGTTGAAAAACATCTCCACTCACAGCCTTTGCCCCATGTATGCGTGGGTCTGTTAGTGGGCATCCTGTTCTGTTATAATGACCTCCTTACCATCTCTGTGCAATGCCATCCTTTCATGGTAGCTTTCCAATAAATCTTGACGTCACATAGTTACATAAGTCATTCAGTTTGCTCTTATTTTTCAAATTTATCTGGCTATTCTAAGTCCCTTAAAATTTCTTTAGTTTTTTAGTTATTCAGAGGTACAGTTACAAAACAGCATTGAGAAATCCAAACATACTTTAAAATTAAAAGTTATTATGGTCAAAGTACTTTATATCCATGTATGAAAATAGAACTATGAAATCTGTTGAAATTGTTTAAAGAAGGAAGATGAGGAATAGAGGGGAGTGACTTTGATTGAAATATGTGGAAAACATTTGTGGAAGTGTTACAGTGAAACCCTTTTATACAATTAACATATGCTAATAAAAGGTTATTATGGCACAGTGAGGAAGCTTTCTGTCGTGTAGCTCCATCAGGAATGAAGACTCTGGGCATGGGATTCCATTTGATTAATCAAAAAAATTGTTGCATGTGCTTTGCATGAATTCCCAATTTTCAAAAAATTAAAATAGAATAATTCATGCTAGGACTGAATTGGACATAATTGCAACTTTTATTGATGCTTCAGAAAGTACTTAAGTCTTAGAGTACCTTAATCATTGTGAGCATCAGCAGTCATTGTCCCTGCAAAGTGGGGACTTATTGATTAAAGGGAGCTTATTTTGTTACATTGCTGCTTATCCCATTGTCTATTCTGCTTTTGATTTGGGGGATGCCTTTCTTCAAACATCTAGAGTGTTATATTTGACAATGATATACAAAGCATTCTGGTACCTGGATGTGCTCTTCCAATAAAGCACATTCCTGTTTACTTTAAGCTTACTCTCTGCTGGGGACAGTGAGAATAACTATTAATTAGGACAGTGGATCTCTGATAATGTCAGCCATCACCACCACTGTGTGGTGTTGAGCAAATTGCTTACCTTCTTTGGGCCTCAGTTTCATCATTGGTCAAATGAAAGGTTTAGGCTAGTCAAGTCTTGAGAAAGTCATTCAGCACTAAGGCCCTTTGACTTTTCTTTATTCACTTAAAATTCAGAGCCCCTTTCAAAATAAACAAAATGCACCATGATGAGTCAAAAGGGAGTCTGTTTCAGTCAGGAAGTCATGATCTTTTGATGCATCCCAGATTACCCAACACCACTGCTCTCCAACTCTGTCTTAACTGGGCCAACACTGAGCAGTTACAATGGCATGTGTGGCTTCTGGTGCTGGTGACATTTTGTGGCCTATGAAAACCCCATATTCTGAGACTGACTTCTAAGCTCAGGCAATTCTAAAGTTTCAAAATTTCCCCACTTGGCAGGATAGATTTTCAAATATCTCTCCAAAAGTAACAGGCACAGTATTGAAACCAAGAGGATTTTAAATATCTCCATTGCTCTTCTTACACAAAGGCATGGCAGAGCTACTTCGGTCATGTCTATGTGATCTTTGATACATGTATACAATGAGAAACTTGGAGAACCTAATGCTTACAAGGAAGTAAAGAATATAGACATGAATTAAAAATAATATGAGAACATCTATTGAACATTTGCTGAGTGTCAGGTAATCTTCCAAGCACTTCATGCATTTAATTCTGACAGCAGTCTTAAAAACTAGGCATTATCAGCTCCTTCTTACAGACCAGGAAATAGTGCACAGACTTCCTGTTACATGCCCAAGGTCACACAGGAAGAAGTGGCAGAGATGGTCTTCAGTTCATATGTGTTCCAGTCTTGAGCTTAAACTCTGAATGAGCAAGTTGGAGACTAGTTCTTATTGCTTACCCAGCACATTTAGAAAGTAATTGAATTTGTAGTATGAATTACACTGAACTAAACCAAAATAATAAGTGCTATTGGATAACTTTGGGAAAGCTTTATAGAAGCAAGAATTCACAGAAAGTTCCCTGAAGAAACTTGCTTTGAGTTACATTTTGAAATGAAGAACATGAATTGTCCTAGAGCAAAAGGTGAGTTTGTGTTGAGGAGAGGGACTACAGGGGGCTGTAAAGATACAAGTGAACAAATTATGTGTTTGGGAAACAACAGCCAGAAATAAAGCTGATGTGGTATAGGTTGAAAATCCAAGAGACTTCACTTTATTATGGTAGGCACTGGGGATCCAGTCAGTATTTAAGAAAGGAGAGGAACATAATTAAAATTATATTTGATTTTACAATGTATCCTATATCTCGTGAAAGATAAATATGAGCTTTGAATGATTTGAAGGTCAAGAGAAAATTTCTTAGCAAAATATATTTGGTACTCATCATATTATCTTCAGGAACACAATGTAGCTCATTTCACTGAGTTCTTATTGCCTTAACAGTGCAATGACAATGTATTTAGGCCCCTGAATTAAGAGGGCAAGATGCAGATTTTGTACAATTTTCAGAAATAAAGGTGACTAGTCTACCACATTAAGCTGGTCCATCTTCACAGGTATTATGCAATGTGTATTAAAAAAAAACCACAAGGATTATAGATTAAAGCCAAGGTTGGGCAAATAGAAATCTCTCAACAATATATATTAAAATTAAGTTGAATTGAAGTCCATTTCCAGATAGCAATTACTGCTCCTGAGTGAGGGCTAATGTGTTTCATGAATTACATTTGGGTCCTTTCCATTATAAACCCAGTATTGCTAACGTAAATGTCTCTTAACATTTCCTAAAGTGTGTTCTTTCTTTCTCTGTCTCTTTCTCTCTCCAGTTCCAGAGACCTAATGACTTCTCACCCCCTTTCCGCTTTGGAACTGTGCCCAATGGCAGCACAGAGAGGAATATTCGTAATAACTATGCAGAGATGCATGCCTACATGGGCAAGTTCAACCAAAGGAGTGTAGACGATGCACTGCTCTCCCTGAAGACAGGGTAAGACCTGCTTCTGTGCTTAGAGTTCTTCATACATTTCCCATGCTTATTACACATGTATTGAACCAGATGTACTAGTATACTATCCTTGGTGCCCTAAAACATTAAATCAAAGGAGACAATTTGCTTCTTTACATATTTCCAAGTTAAGTTTGACAGTATAGTTCAGTCTAAGGTATAAAGATTCCTAAGCTACCATTTACTTTTGTTTATTTTTCTACTAAATGTTTCCTTACTTGCATTAATGCAACCAAGAAATAAATAAGACATATAAAAAGTAGAAGGAAAGAATTAAGGATAAGGCTCATATGTTACACATAAAACAAAGACTTGGAGTCTAAGGTAAAAATGAAGGCTCTGATGTCTTATGGAAAAGGAGAAATAAAAAAAAATGTGTATAAATTTTAGGCAACAAAAAAGTGAGGCTAAGTTCCCTAATCTCCAATTCCATCTTTGGTTGGCATTCTTTATAAGCATTTGTTTACTGAAAGGATTCATGAAGAAGAAGTATGAAAGTGTTGGTGTGTATCATACCAGCCACAGTTGTCCTTGTGTGGTTTCCAGAAACCAGAATTGTGGAAGATGATAGGTGTTTGAACCTTATGAATGGAATTTGGGGGCCAAGGGATCCTGTAGCTGTTTTTCTTTGTTTTATGATGACCTCCTGTAAATAACCAAGTAGCTCCAGGTCTCAAAGAGCCACCTAGATACATAGTTACCTAAAATACTGTGAGATTCTACCTTATTACCATAAATATAGTCACAACAGATTTTAAAAGATGGGACTTGAACTTGGGGTGGGGCTTCTTTTGGTAGTCTGAACCCTGGTACACCTGAAATTCTCAGTGATACAGGATCTTTGGTTTTATAGTGTGCCACCTTTCTAGAGGGTAAGGTACATGGCTTATGAAGTCAGAAAGAGCTTGGTTTTTTTCCTCAAGGAGGGACAGTGCTACCTACCTTATAAAAATATAGAGGTGCTGCATGGCCTTCCTCCTTTCAAAACTCTCTATTACCTCTGTATCTTTATCTGAATATCTTCCTCTACATTTGATATGTGTTGGTTTGAAACTTCTATGCATGCCTCCCCACCCTTACTCCTACCCTTTTCTCTATGCATTCCTGTCTTGCCAAGCACAATACATAGAATGAAGTTTACTACACTTAGGAATTTGAGAGATCTTAGTTCCTATGTATCTTGCCTTCTCTTGCAGTGTCTCACATTTGGTCTTACACAGCCTGCACTGCTGCCACTCCGGCCACTCACCTATGTGCCTGTATTGCACTACAGGAATATTGGAAGCTTTCTGACCACAAAAATAGCATCTATTGAAACACATACACCTACACTTATCCCACTCTGGACTGAAATGAACTGAGAAATGAAAAATGTTATATAAATCTTACCCATGCTATTTGTTATTGTTGTGCTTACTTTTCATTATTCCTGTTATTATTTTTATTGATTCTTTTTTACTCCTTCTCCTTTTCAGGCACAGCTTATGAGTTGGCTTCAGGCCCAACTTACATTCTTATCATTCCCAGTGGGGGGAGAAAGAACTCCTCCTTCAACCTGAAATCACATAAAGAACAGCCTGGCATACAGGCTTTATACTCTGACACTGGTTCAACTTGAGCCTGACTTTAAACCAGTTATCTGCACATAGCTTTCTAGAACCATACTGCTCCCTATTAATGGCCCCATCGGTAGTTTTGCTCTGAATTTCTCCTTTGCAATTTGTTTGTTTGCTTCTTTCTTGTGCAGGAAACTGGATGCCTTCATCTACGATGCTGCAGTGCTGAACTACATGGCAGGCAGAGATGAAGGCTGTAAGCTGGTAACCATTGGCAGTGGCAAGGTCTTTGCTTCCACTGGCTATGGAATTGCCATCCAAAAAGATTCTGGGTGGAAGCGCCAGGTAGACCTTGCTATCCTGCAGCTGTTTGGAGATGGTGAGTTAAAGAAAGAGAAAGTGTCCATTTGGCCTTGACCAGTGGTCAAGTTTGTTTCTCAAACTTGTGCATTTCCAAGTATATGATGAGATTTGATGGTATGTATTAGATTCCTAGGGCTGCTATAACAAAGTACTATAAACTGAGCAACTTAATTAATTGTTTCACTGTTCTGGGGGCTAGAAGTCTGGAATCAAAGTATTAATAAAGCTAGTTCCTCTTGGAGGTGGTGGCCAATAATCCATTTTAAGTCTCTTCCATAGCTTCTCACAGTTTACTGGTAATACTTGGTGCTCCTTAGCTTATCAAGGCATTGCCCAATATCTGCTGTCATTCTTCCTCTGTACGTGTCTGTGTCTGAATTTACTTTTTCATAAGACCAGTCATATCGGATTAGGGGCCCACTGTGCTCCAGTACAACCTCATAATAACTAATCATATTTCCAATGACCCTAATTCCAATAAAGTCACATCCTAAGGTCCTGGAGGTTAGAACTTCAACATATGAAATATGGGAGAAACAATTCAACTCATACTGGGTAAAAGGAGGGAGAGGATTAATGTAGTTGGTCAAGAAGGTATATTTCAAGATTTTGTGGTATGATCAGACCTTCAGGAATAAGGTAGGAGAGGCTAATGTTAGTTGTTCCAACCAATCATTGCACATGTGGCCCAAAGAGTAGATGGGACTAGAGATGGACTCTGCAATTGTGTACCCAGTAAAAGAGCTGAGAAATGAACATGTGGTCAGCTACTCATTCTTCCCTCTCTCTTGTCTTGCTCTTTCATCTGAAGAGTTAGGGAGCAGGGTTAGGGTTCTCATAAGCAGATGCCAGAAGACACTTTCCCGTGTCATCAGGAAGAAGACTGAGCAACCAACTTGCCCTGAGAAAACTGTCTCCTATTACATTATACCCTTATCTTCTGCATTTCTCTTTACTTTATTGTCCAAAGCACCTATTTTTCCTGTCATTCTCACAAAAATTAATCCAGTTACAGATGAGCAGCTTCACTCCCCATGGCTCCATCAACCATCAACCAAGTGGGTCTCCAAGTTTGTCTACAGAATCTTTGCTGTTAAGGATGAGATCAGAAGCAGAAGACCAGAGTTGGTTTCCAGATTTCAAGTGAAGCTGGCTGCTGCACTAGTTAGGAAAAGCATCATTTGAGCAAAGACAGGAGTAAAAACTGACTAGATTAACATCTGAAAGATGAGAGGGTTGTAGCTAGAGGGTGAACAAGCCATTTTTGGTATAAGAGATTCTGTGATTTTTGTAGTTGTTGCTTACTGGAACAAATGAACCCTGTATTAGTGACAAGGGACAACAGTAGAGATGACTTACAAAAGTCTCCAGAGCTTTAATCAGATTATACAAAGTTCAACTTTTAACCAAACTGGAACCATTGGAACAGACAACTTTCTTCATGGTATCTTCAGAATTTTGCTTCTCTAAGATTAGAGGCATTCCAGGGCACACACTTTCTTTCATTTTTCTTTTAAACGTAGGATTTATACCTTTCTAATTCCTAGTGTGGTAAGTAAAGGTCATTGAAATCTGGCAGAATTGATGTAATCACAGCATTCTTAAGCACAGTGAAGAAGAGGCAGGTCTAATTTGGGTGGTCTTATTTTATTCAAACTTCTCCCTATTTTGCTCTTTTTTATTTTCCTCTACAACAAAAGATCTGGAAGTCTGAGGGGCCCTAGGGAATCAATCTCTCTGCCAAGCTCTTTCTATCTCTTCTTTCCCTACCCAATCTGCTTTGCACAATTATAAGAGAAAGTTTCAATCACCTGTTTGGCAATATTATTCCCCACTAACTATAAAATAAAGTGCAAAGAGCTTAGTCTAACCCTCAGGTCCTCAGAATGCTTGCATCAGTATTTTCATTCAGCCTTTTCTGCAGACTGTTATTCTGTTTGAACAGTTCTTCATGCCTTTTCTTAAATGAACAGTGGGTTTTCCCACCTCCTACCCATTGATCATGCTATTCCTGCCATCTGGATTGCCTTAACAATATAAATAAAAATTCACTCATCCACCATGATCACTCCAAGTCCTACCTCCTTCATGAAAACCCATTGGCTGCTCTTCCCACAAAATTTCTCTCATTTAATTTGAACTCTTGTTATCTGCATAGCATATAGCTTGTCATGTCAGTCACTTATATACCAATTTATACTGGGTAGATAAGGGATAGCAGTGATAATGTCTCATGTCTTTGTATCACCCACAGCACTCTCATTATGTTTTCATTGAATGCTTATTGGCTACATTGATGAATTCATATATAATAGTATTAATAAAATTACTCTTAACATTCTCTTTTTTGTATCTCCTTCTCTCTCTCTCCTTTCTCTAAATATTCTTTTTTCTCTTTTTTGCACCCCTCTCCTTTCTTCCCCCTTTATTTGTTTTTCTTCTGTGCCCTGTCTCTAGGAGAAATGGAAGAACTAGAAGCTCTCTGGCTCACTGGCATTTGTCACAATGAGAAGAATGAGGTCATGAGCAGCCAGCTGGACATTGACAACATGGCAGGTGTCTTCTACATGTTGGGGGCGGCCATGGCTCTCAGCCTCATCACCTTCATCTGTGAACACCTTTTCTATTGGCAATTCCGGCATTGCTTTATGGGTGTCTGTTCTGGCAAGCCTGGCATGGTCTTCTCCATCAGCAGAGTAAGTGCTTGGATTTAGATTCCTAGAGCTTTAATGATGGCTCAGACTTGCAGTGTGCAAAGCAGAGAGAACCCAAGAGGGCACTAGCTGCAACCTCATGTTTTAATGGCAGGAAACCATATCTCGTGCATTTTTCCAGGAGTTTGGTACAATTTTAAATGGTTCAGAAAGAGGGTTATACTTTAAATCTAAGCCCCTGTATATGTAGGGTATGAGCATTTGGTTCTCAATACTGGTAGAACTGTCAAAAGGGAAAATTAGGCTTTTCTCACATGCCTTTTATCACCATTAGTTGTTTCTGTAGAGGCTGTATTAATCAGTCAATCCTTTAAAAAGGAACCACATTTCTATTTAAATAGTGGAATGTAGCATCTCTCTCTTATTCTAACATACAGATGTGTATTATTGGTAATTTCACTGTTTCTATTTTAATGATCTGTGGCATATGGAAAATTAAAGAGCCTAATAGGCCAGGTATGGTGGTACACACCTATAATCCGAGCACTCCAAGGTAGGAGCATCAAGAGTTTGAGACCAGCCTGGACTACACAGTGAGAATTGATCTTAATAGGTATCCTATCAGGACCTGCAGATATAAGTCTTGTCTCATAAGAAATTTATATTCCAGAAACTTCCTTAATTGGAGCAAAAGTATAATGTTTACATCATTCTTTATTTAGATCTTTTCTTCATTTCTAATCCAAAATGAGGCATTAGGAACAAAATTTAGTGTACAATCAACCAATCACAAGGGAGAGTTTTGTTTTTTTTTTTTAAAAGAGTGGGTTTCTTTTAATTTTGTTAATAAGTTTGTGGGACTTGCTCATAAGTAATAAGCTCAAATGGCTTTTTAGGATTGAGGCCCACATTCCAGATAGGAAGACCTTCAGCTCAAATGAGGTTATGAAAGAAAATGAGTTTCTTGTTAAATTGTTTCATTGTTGGCCATTTTACTGATAGAAAACATTTTCTTCATTTCCTCTTTGGCTGTGAGTTAATTCAGGTCATTCAGCAACATCAGAACAGGAGAATGGAACTTGTGGGAGTCATGGGCCCTGAGCCATGTGGATACACTGTGGGGGTCTTCCCCAAGTCCCCAGATAGGGTAATGGCAGAAACAGTGACCTAGAATAGAAATCCCATCTCTGGCCATTCCACATAACCAATGCCTTCATAGAGGGAAAATGTTTTGTATTTCCTCTTGGCCATAGTCAAGAGGAATTAGGAAAGAGGATCCACAAAGCAAGTAGAGTAATCCTACTGGAATGATCTTATATCTTATGAAGCCCTCAGGGACCGTCAGCTCAGTTCTTTTCCTAATAGTTGCCATTCTCCTTCTAACCTTTCTTCTCTCATTTCCTTCCCAAATTAACCCACTTAGTTGTAAAAAACAACAAATCAAAAACCTCCTCTTCAGATATCCCCTTGCTAGGGAGTTCCAAGTTTTGATAAGACATTAATTATTTATGATAACATTAAGTGAGTGAGGAAGTATAAGAAAGAAGGAGCTAAAGAGAGAATAAAGGACAGAATTCAACAAAGGAGTTATTTATTCATATTTAGAACTTCATAATTATCCCAATTCTTCCTCCCATGGTGTAAGACACAGCAGGAGAAAAATCCTTCTTTGACCCCAGGGCTTCCTAATTCTCTGTGTGAATTTGGCTCATGCTTGGCTAAAGAACAGAATTACTCAGCTGCTATTTGGTGACCAAATTCTAAAAGCTGCTCAAAACTTGTCAAAGCTGGAAAAGAATGGCAATTGTGAGCTACTGAGGTCCCTGTGCTATGCTGATAGCCAGGAGTGACTAGCCAGAGCACACTGGCCTCCATATCTATACAACAGTGCCTTGTATTTCCCCATGCATTTCCGGGATAGTGACAATATATTTTTTTTGCTGTGGGTTCATATCTTGACATCATTTTTCAAATGCGAGCATCTAGGTATAGAAAGGAAAATCAAGGTAAGTCAATGGTGGAATTGAGACAAGAATGCTATGTCTTGTAATTCCAGTTATCTGTTCAGGTCATCTGGTACAGCTGTGCCCCCACTTTGGAAGGCCAGGTCACTAACCTTAGATCGTGAGATGACATTTGATGGATCTGGTGGAAAAATGAGACAAACTTCTAGCCACATCTTCTCTGAGTACATTCAACAAGCTGGCATGGTGGTGCTTGCCTGTAATCCCAGCCCTGAGGAGGCTGAGACAGCAGGATGAAGAGTTCTAGGCCAGCTTGGACCAAATGCATAACAAGATCCTGTCTCAACAAAACAAACAAACCCAAACCCCCAAAACCAAAACAAAGCAAGCTAACAAACACAAAACAGAGTATATCAGGCTAGTTTATGCTTGCCCTGGATCTCTCTTTCTTGGTTAAGGAACTCATGGTGTGGGAGGCGGAGAGGGTTGTTTGTGATCACTTCTAGCTCTCTGGACCTAACCTGCCCGCTCCCATCTCACCGCAGGGTATCTACAGCTGTATCCATGGAGTGGCTATTGAGGAGCGCCAATCCGTGATGAATTCCCCCACCGCGACCATGAACAACACCCACTCCAACATCCTGCGCCTGCTCCGCACGGCCAAAAACATGGCCAACCTGTCGGGTGTGAATGGCTCCCCGCAGAGCGCCCTGGACTTCATCCGTCGCGAGTCATCCGTCTATGACATCTCCGAGCACCGCCGCAGCTTCACGCATTCGGACTGCAAGTCCTACAACAACCCGCCCTGCGAGGAGAACCTCTTCAGTGACTACATCAGCGAGGTGGAGAGAACGTTCGGCAACCTGCAACTGAAAGACAGCAACGTGTACCAAGACCACTACCACCATCACCATCGGCCGCACAGCATCGGCAGCACCAGCTCCATCGACGGCCTATATGATTGTGACAACCCACCCTTCACCACCCAGCCGCGGTCCATCAGCAAGAAACCCCTGGACATCGGCCTGCCCTCCTCCAAACACAGCCAGCTAAGTGACCTGTATGGCAAATTCTCCTTCAAGAGCGATCGCTACAGCGGTCACGATGACTTGATCCGCTCCGACGTGTCCGACATCTCCACCCACACGGTCACCTATGGGAACATCGAAGGCAATGCAGCCAAGAGGCGGAAGCAGCAGTACAAGGACAGCCTGAAGAAGCGACCAGCCTCGGCCAAGTCCCGGCGGGAGTTCGATGAGATCGAGTTGGCCTATCGTCGCCGGCCACCCCGCTCCCCAGACCACAAGCGCTACTTCAGGGACAAAGAAGGGCTCCGGGATTTCTACTTGGACCAATTCCGAACAAAGGAGAACTCGCCTCACTGGGAGCACGTGGACCTGACCGACATCTACAAGGAGCGAAGTGATGACTTTAAGCGCGACTCGGTCAGCGGAGGTGGGCCCTGTACCAACAGGTCTCACCTCAAACATGGGACTGGTGACAAGCACGGTGTGGTAGGCGGAGTGCCAGCCCCTTGGGAGAAGAACCTGAGCAACGTGGATTGGGAGGACCGGTCCGGAGGCAACTTCTGTCGCAGCTGTCCCTCCAAGCTGCACAACTACTCGACCACGGTAACAGGTCAGAATTCGGGCAGGCAGGCGTGCATCCGGTGTGAGGCCTGCAAGAAGGCTGGCAACCTGTATGACATCAGTGAGGACAACTCCCTGCAGGAACTGGACCAGCCGGCTGCACCTGTGGCAGTGACATCCAGTGCCTCCACCACCAAGTACCCCCAGAGCCCGACTAATTCCAAGGCCCAGAAGAAGAACCGGAACAAGCTGCGGCGACAGCACTCCTATGACACCTTCGTGGACCTGCAGAAGGAAGAGGCCGCCTTGGCCCCACGCAGTGTGAGCCTGAAAGACAAGGGCCGTTTCATGGATGGGAGCCCCTACGCCCACATGTTTGAGATGCCAGCTGGTGACAGCACCTTTGCCAACAACAAGTCCTCAGTGCCCACTGCCGGACACCACCACCACAACAACCCCGGTGGCTACATGCTCAGCAAGTCGCTCTACCCTGACCGGGTCACGCAAAACCCTTTCATCCCCACTTTTGGGGACGACCAGTGCTTGCTCCATGGCAGCAAATCCTACTTCTTCAGGCAGCCCACGGTGGCAGGGGCGTCGAAAGCCAGGCCGGACTTCCGGGCCCTTGTCACCAACAAGCCGGTGGTCTCGGCCCTTCATGGGGCTGTGCCAGGCCGCTTCCAGAAGGACATCTGTATAGGGAACCAGTCCAACCCCTGTGTGCCTAACAACAAAAACCCCAGGGCTTTCAATGGCTCCAGCAATGGGCATGTTTATGAGAAGCTTTCTAGTATTGAGTCTGATGTCTGAGTGAGGGAAGAGAGGTTAAGCTGGGTATGGGAGGGTTAGGGCTGTGGGTTGTGTGGTGCGCATGTCATGGAGGGGGTGGGGTGAACTTGGTTCCCATTTGCTCCTTTCTTATTTTTATTTATGGGATCCTGGAGTTCTAGTTCCTACTGAAAGCAATCCTGGTGACCAGCACCATCTCTCCTCCCTTGTGCAGTTCTCTTCTCCTACCCTCCTCCCACCCCCCTCATCTGTCCGTCCTGCCATTCCTGTTCCCATAAGAGGATGGAACGGGCCCTCTCAGAATTGGAGGGTGGAGAGGAGACAGGAAGCATGCGAGCTTCCTCCTAGCATGGAAGAGCTCTTTGCCATACACTTTGAGTGAAGCTAGGAGAAGCAAAAGGAGGCCACATAAGCATGGGGTAGCTTTTCCTCAACTGATCTTACTGTTTAGGTGAGGAAGCAAAAGTGAGACCATGTAGATAGAATACCACTCCTGAATGGAAAGAGGTTTTTGCTAAATTCTTGTTGCCTAGATGGCATCTGCCTAAAGACCATGTGCCAAACAAAGCCCATGTGTGTTTATATATAAGCCAAAAAAATGTTTGCTTCAGCTCCATGAGAGCCATTAGTGTTAAACTTGAGTGAGAGGTCATGGTGGAAGATTGGATTCCTGAACAAACTAGGAAGTTCACTGTAATAGTGTTCCATGGTACACTGAAGAACGGGGGATCGTGTGTGCATGTATGTCCACGTACACTTGCACACATGTGTAGTCAGATGCCTCTAAATGTAAAGAAGGCAACCTTGACTCATAATTGTGACTTTCCACATCCCTAAGCAATGTGCTTGTTTTGGCTTATATACAAACAGAGATGGTCATATGACACCTGAATTTTGGCTGTTTCTTCCCTTCACCTCCCTGAATGAGAAGAATGGAAGTTCTTGACAAAGAAGATTCTATGCTGTAGACAAAAAAGAAAGAAAGTAAGTAAGAGGATCCAATAAAAGCAAGGCACAAAAACTTTTTTTTCAGTGATTGGCAATAGTTTCGACCAGCTTGGTCTCAGAGCAACCATGATGCTTTTGTCCACTTGAGAGCAAAAGATTCTCTAAGATTCTTTTGAGCTTTTAGACCTCAACTGGCCAAGGTTTAGGGAGGAGCTCAGTAGGAATTTGAAGAAGGGAGTGGCTTATGGTAGGGTAAGTGAGAGAGGGGGATGTTTTCAATGCTTTGATCCCTCCTTACTTAACCTGGAGCTAGAAGAGCAGGCTTGTTCCCCCCCAAAATGGTGACAACTGACAGTGAAGAGAGGCGAGGTGAACTTTCCCCACACCTACAGCTCGGGAGGCTTGGGGAGAAAGGAGGAGATTTGGAGGTGGGAGGTTCTCTCCTGCTACCTCAGTGAGCCTGGCTCCCTGGAAATGTGACTAGAAGCTGATGTGAACCAACTCCTGATGGAAGCCCTTCCACCTTCCTGCCACACTTCTATTCCCTCTCAGACTGTACCACTCAAAAGAAAACCTGTACGTGTGTGTGTATGAGTGTGTATGTGTAAAACTCCAGGGATGGGGGTGCTGATAAATGTGATGCCCCTCGCTTAAAGTTGAAGAATTGAGAAAGGAAATGAATATTTGTCACTGCCCGTCCTGAGACTTGGGGTAGGGGTGTTCTATGGGTCAGTGTCACTGTCCTTCCCTCCCCTCACACAGGGTGGCATCCAAAGAGCCCGGGTTTGTTTGGAAGCTTGACCACAGGATCGCCTTGTTGCACACAGGACACACAAACCAGAAAGGTGCTCATCCTCCTCTGGAAGGAAGCTGCCATGTCTCTTCACGTCACACCCTCCAGGGCTGCTCCTTGCCTTCCTGTTCGCCCTGCCTCACGACCCTTCCTCATTCCCTGCCCTTCTCGACTGCTGACCCCGCCCTCCTCCTCCTTGAGTTTTACCTCAGTATCTTTCATTTTAAAGCCAACTGAAGGCCTTGTTTTCTTTCTAAAATGAACGTGGGGGCAAGGGGCTGAACCTCTCACAGATTTGGAGAGAGGAGCACGGAGTGCTTTACTTTAGATTCCAGGAAAGACTTTGAGAGAGAGGACAGAGGGCGTGAGGCCTCTGCAGGAGGAAGAAGGAGAGCCATAGAAACCTTGTTTCACCCTGGCTCTGTCCAAGGGCCAGGTGCTCATCCCTCACTCTTCCTCTTACCTCACCCCTTTAAAATAAAAACCAAACCAACTAACCTAGCGAACAGCAATCTAGAACACAGGGGGCTCTGTCTGTCTCCACTGGCGACAGAAATCAAGATGGTGTTTATTTCATATGTAAATATTTTGTTTTCTAATTAATTTTGTATAGATAAAGTGTTCTCTTGTGAGTATTCAGGGTGTTGGGCTGGAGGGAGTGGGGTGGGGATGGGAACGAGGGGGATAAAAGTGTTTTGTTATAGGTTTTCATTTTCCGTTGGGGAATTGTTTTGTATGGCCTTTGCTTCAGGGTGTCTGGGAAAAGTGAATATGAATGGAAGCCACTATGGTGAACAAGCCAGGGGAAAGTATTTTGTGTCCCTGCCCCTCTCCCCAAACCAGTCTTCCTACTGGTCTGTGAGAAATGTTCATGAATTTTGGCCTGGGCTTTGCAGGGTCTAATTTGGCCCTAAGCAAATACCTAGCTTCTAGGTAAACCATAGGGTACCACTTCATGGAAGACAGGCTGGTGGCACCAAATTTTTCCCTAGGTCACAAAAGGGCTTGCAACAAGACTGAGGTCAAATTACTTCTCATTCTTGGTGTGGCTGAGAGGTTTCAGGAAGTTCTGTCCTGAGGGGCCTCCAAAAAGCCTCTCTGATGTTTAACAACCAAATCTCCACTCTGGCCCTTTTCTTTCTAATAACTGGGCCCTACTCTGGTGCCCCCACTCCACCTGTAGAAATAAGCACTGCAGGCACACCCAGAAAATATCCATCCACTCAACTTTTTGAAGCATGTGGTATCTGGCTGCAGAGAGGTAGCACTGGCTATGGGTCTTACAAATTTGCATGCTTTTCTAGAAAAGATCAGCAGATCCACTCAAAACTCAGTGGCTAGTCGATTCCCTTAGAAAGGTTACTGACGATAGTTTTAGAGGAGGGAGGGTGGGTATGTGAGGGATGGTACCAAACTGGACTTTATATTTGCCTTGTCCTCATTACTGCCACCAGAAAAGTGTGATGTGCCTCAAATCGGGTGTGTTCATGACCTGACCTTGGGTTAAGCAGACAAACAGAACTTTACTTTGTGGAGGATGGCAGCCTCTCCCTCTCTTCTCTCTCTCTCTCCCTTTCCCTTTCCCTCCCAGAGTGAAATTCCAAATCCATGTATCCAGCATATTGCATGTTTGCTGTGCTTCCATCATCAGAAGCAATCAGCTGGATGATGTCATCATTCTCAACCCTTTATTTGTCCCCAAATGACCACTTTTCTTCCACCAGATGTTTGAATGGGGACCAACAAAGAGATTCACAGCCTGATCAAGAAGGCTTAAAGAAGGAAAGGCTGAGCTTTGTCACATTCTAGATGTTACTTAATTCTAGAATAACAAACCAGTACATTGCATGAGGAATAATTCTGCAGTAAGCGCCATCTATATCACAGATGGGTATGGACCAAGACCCAATCCATCCAAAACTGTGAGGTTCTCCAGAACCCTCAGGAGCACCTAGTGTTCCAGTGTTCTTCAGAATCCATGCTTTCTCTTTTGCGTGCTCTTTATCTAATCTTCCACTGTGGAAGTAAGTTGGAGGGTGGGGTCCTGCATCATCCCTTTCAGTGGCAATGCTGAAATCTCAGCATGTCCAGTGACCTCAATAATCTGACCCTTGAATTTGCCTGAGTCAAGAATGTGCACACCCTTCAAAGTGGTGCATGTACAGTGGATCTTGTTATTTCAAAGTTGTCACTGTGTCTCCTCAGCCAGAGCTTGGGAAATGCCTTTAAGGTGTATTCCCCAGTTCTAGTCATAGCCATGTTGTGATTGGGTGAAAAAAAATCCCAAATGATCCCATTAAATGTTGGTGGTGTCAGTAGTGCCAAAACGCATGTGTAACTTGATAAAATTGGAGTCGTCTACACAGTTAAATGAATATCACCCACCCAGTCTTCCGTGGCCATCAGGAGCTGCCCAAGAGAAAATTCTCTGCAGAGTGCTGGTCACCTGCACATCTCATTTAAGAACTAGAGTTTCTTCATTTTTGTTTTTTGTTTGGGTTTTATTTAGTTCAAGATTTAGGGACAGAATAACCAGATTGTTTGGGCAATGGCCTTTGGAAAAGCTATTCCTGAACTCACTTTATTTTTTTAATTACCATCTCTCTAAAAAAGCCCTGTCATTGCTCGGTACCCTGTGCATGTCTGTTTTCATGTGCTAGGAATGATTCAGATGTGCACATAAATGATGGAACTGCAGTGCTATTGGTGAATGCGTTAGGTGTTTCCAGGTATTGTGGCCATAATGTGCGTGCTCTTGGAGCCCAAAGCCATATAGGAAATGTGTGTGCAGATGATTGCTGAGCACTAAAGTAGAGCCTTTGCTTTCATCATTTGGGTGCCAGAGAGTCTTCTTCTAGTCTGAGGAAGTCTTTTTGATTGAAAACAACCAAAGGTGAACAGTCACACTGGAGTAGGTCTGGCCTTACAAATGCTATATGGTCCAAAGCGTGAATTAAAAATCCTAAAAAGGCCTTCTAGCTACTGGCTTCCCACACAAACTTACTGTTTTAGCCCTGAGCTGCTCATCTGTTGTTTAAATGAAAACGGTCCCAGGAAGAGTGATATATTAAGCCATATTAGGGATTTATACATTTAAACACCTAATCTGCATTAGGATTCTAATTCCTTTTCCTGGGAATAAGCTATGATACAAGAAGGAGAAGGCAGAGAACACCAAGATTAACAGAGCAGGGAGCAAGCATACAGGTTCCAAAAAGTAAAGACATTTAAACCGTATTTCATATCCACCTGTTTTTGTTTAAGACACTGGGATAGGACTTCTACTCAGAAATTATTTTTCAATACACAATTGCATGAGTGTGTAGTTTGTAGATTTCTAAATTCAGTATCTTGTAGGGCAGGTTAAAGACTGTAATTCTTTCTATAGAAAATGGAAGACTGATGCTTCTCCATTACAGGATACCAAATAGACAGCTAGAAAGATCCAACTGAATTTATACTTTAATAAAAACTACTGTATTATCTGTTCTCTGTCCAAGTCCAATTAATCTTCCAATTATCAAGTTCCCCTCTATCTTGTACTTTCCCACCTGCATGTAGGATGTCCATCTATCCCAGCCCACATTAACTGTTACGGAGCCAGATGACTTCCAGGTGCCACTCAACCTGTGGGAAAACTTTTTTAGGTCTATCAGATGTTTGGGACAACACTAAAATGCAGATAAGTCAGTCTGAGAACTTTTAATACTGACCTGAACCTAAGATTCCATTCTAGTTTGGGGTGGTGGTGTTCCCTGTATTAGGTAAGAATCACAGGAGAATATGTACCATCTTCAATACCTTCCACCTGCATCGACCCAATCCCCTAGGGCCTCTGAGTTCTTTGGATCAGAATACACAACCCATCTATCCCATAATGAAGCACCCCCCACACACACCAAAACCCTTAAATGAAAGTCAGTGTGACTCCCATGCCTTAGTGAGATTGGTAAAATTCGGGGCCTCTCTTTTAAGTATTGAAACAAGGAAAAAGAATTTCTCCGAGAGCGTTGGGTTAGCACAACAGTACTGGGAATACGTGAGAAAAGTTAGCAATTGTCCGCATCTCTCTGCACTGTCTGTTCGCATTCATGTCAGAGGGCAGCACAGTGAGGTGCTGGTGCACTGTACAGTCACAGGCTGATGCTGAGAAGTGAGGTGGAAGACAGAGAGGGTGAGTAGAATTTCTCGCAGCCTTGGGATGCTGGTGTGTAGAATCTGCTCTGGCAAAGGTATAGAAACAAAACTCAGTGCAGGGTTCACAGTTGCAAATAAGAGGCGTAACATTACACCCAGCGTAAAGCTGATACTTTAAAGATTTCAACTCGA